GGATAGATTGTGTTCAATAGAAGCGAAATATTCGAAAACCTTGAAATGAAATTTTTGGTTAGTTACGACCTTCTGTCTTAGCACGGCAGTAGTAATTTTGTATAGGAAGTTAATGTAAAAACCTGTCGGTTTCTGAGTTATAAAAAAAAAAAAAATGTTTTGGTCTTTCGAGCCGGATTACACTACTTAATCTCTCATTAATATTGTCCTTTGATATTTTTTAAGTTGGGAGTGTGACTTTTGACATTACTTTCAATACCTGAAGAGATTTTGGAAAATTTTAAATTACACAATAAATCTTACCCTGATTTGTTCAGGTCGAGGTTTGTTAAACCTCAGATCGAAGCAATAATTGACCAACGACCTCATTTTCTGGTGGTTTCTGTCATTACACATGCAAATTATGGGAATGCTGGTATTTTTTATGAGGTTGATCAGTTCTTGAATTCCTCCTCTATCTTCGTTGCCAGCCATTCCATCAACTTCGTCCATCAAGAGAACGCGTTTTTTGTCAGTTGTCTTTTTGCCTTAAAAAGACAAATTTTAAAAAACCCAATTAGTCTATTCATATAATATGAATACAGGAGAAGACGAACTACAAAACTTTTAAGTTTTTTTATTTTTTGAAGGTAGAATGGAATAAATATTGAATACACTGAAATAATATTGTACATTCCCAAACAGTATTTCTAATATTTAAGCAGCATTTACTTTTATAGTTTAAATTATCATTGCAAGTGTTGCATATCATTGCATGTGTCATTGCATTGTCTAGCATTTATAATTCTTAACAACTTATCCAAATACTTATAAATCTATACTGTAACTACTTATTTTTCAGATAAGAGTTCTTACCAGCAGCAAATCCAGCGATAGTTGTGGTACTCAATAACTGAGACACCTCTTCATGCAATAATCTTTTACTCCTGGTGTCGGACGCATTGAATTCAACTACATCGAAGCCCATGTCTTTAGATACCAAAGTGGCTGTTGTTGTTTTTCCTAGAATAATGATTATTTGATTGAAAAAAAAACACAAAAAGGGGGTTTTCCCGAATTTTTTATGTCTTCATCAGAAGTGTAACTGGGGCTGCCCCAAATATATTTATGAATTAGTTTCTAATTGTTTATATATTGGTATGCACTCATAATTCAATTCTGGAAATTCAAATGTGAAAGGGTATTTATTGGCATTTTCATGAGCTTACAAACATGCATTTTTCTGTTATATATGCTGTATATATCATTCATCATTTGTTTAATGTTATGATGCATTTTGAGAGAAAAATACATTTATTGTCTTAGGAAGACAAGTTCCAGTTGACAAACGTTTCTGAACTATGGTAAAAACAATATAAAGTTAAACACTGTGATG